GTGGGTCTTTGTACTAAAGAATTTGGCATATTGGAATTAAAGCAAAGTGTCACCAAGTCAGGAAGCTCACATGGTGACCTTGTGTCAGCCTTCCCAGGTAGACCAGGCAGGAAACACAACCAGATGAGCTAATTCTACTTTATTGTAAGGCTACATAACAGAATATTGCAAGTCTGAAGGTACAATTCTCCCACCGTCCCTATTTACAGCCTGATAATCCATTATGGTTTATATAATAAATTACAGTTAGGCAGGCCATGGCTTAGCACAATGTGTGAATCTAGTCCTCTTCCGAAGGATAAATCCATGGACTTTTTATTAAAGATTTGTTGACCAAAAAAATGTGTAGATTGGTAATATGTGAAAACTCTCATAATTTTGACTAAAAAGAAATAATAAACTGGGTCAAGAGGCTGTTTGGAGTTACTTTATTCTCATTGATTTTACAATGAGAAAGTAGAGGTTAAAAACTGATATTCTGTAAAGTTTCCCTTTTTCTTTTTCAAATTAACTGTGTGAAGATTCCAAATGCCTTCATTATTCATTTTTAAGAAATTGATTTTAAAGTTCTTGTTACTAACTCTTCGCCCTTCCCCCCACCCCCTTTAGCTGGAGATGTATTCCACTGTGCCACAGCTGGGTTATCTGTCCATTGAGGAATGTATGAATGAGCATTCAGAAGGAGAAGATGACCAATTTTATCTCGCCATGGGATTCATTGATGAAGAACCAAAGGAGGGTGATACTGACGAGGTCTATTTGAGTGCTTTTGATGATCTCAGCCCTTTAGCTAGTGAATTAGAACACCTTCGGCAATCTAATGAAGATCAAACTCCTGACATCCCTTCCCCAAAACTCACAGTGGAAGATCACACTTCCTGGATGGCCAGAGAAACCTTGGTTGAAGATTTAAAGAGCTCACATTTACTTGAAGTTGGCATGGAACCTCAGCAAGGTGACTTTTCAACTTGGGACCCAGCACTAACCAAGTATCTGGACCCAAAATTAGCCAAGCCGCATGAGAAGGAATTGGGTTCCAGAAGCAATTCCAATGAGATGGAAACCAGCCTTACAGACAAAGCTGAAGGAGAACCCATTTTTTCAATGTTGCAGATAGAAGATACAAATGTTGGAAGTGAGGCTGATCTCTTTATACAAAAAACTGGATGTCCTGAAGAAATTGCTTGTCAAACATCTCTGGATCCAGAGTCTGGGGAAAAAAATGCTGAGGCTGATAAAGCAGAGCCCATTTTTTCATTGTTGCAGGTAGATGATACAAATGTTGAAAGTGAAGTTGATCTCTTTATACAAAAAACTGGATGTCTTGAAGAAATTGCTTGTCAAACATCTCTGGATCCAGAGTCTGGAAAAAAAAATGCTGAGGCTGATAAGGTAGAACCCATTTTTTCATTGTTGCAGGTAGATGATACAAATGTTGGAAATGAAGTTGATCTCTTTGTACAAAAAACTGGATGTCCTGAAAAAGTTGCTTGCCAAACATCTCTGGATCCAGAGTCTGAAAACCAAACTATCAAATCAAGTGTTGAAGATCAGTGGCAACTTCAGAATGCATCCCAAAGCGAGCAGATTCCATGTCCTCCTTGCAGCCCCAGAGTGGAAACTCCTCCTTCAGAGGTGGTTGGAAGGTCCAAGAAACACGTGGGTGATACACTCGTGATTCAAGAGATGGGAGAGCTGCACAGTAGAAATGCTGCACAAGCTGCTTCATCTGTGGAAGAACTCAGCTCACTTCAAGGCCTGATTTCTTCTTCTTTACTGGACAGTAATTCTGAGAGTGCATCTTCTACAAGCCTCCCAGCACCGGCTGCTTGGAATCCTAAGCATACCTCTTCCCCTGGGGCAGCTTATGCACATGCACCTTTGTCTGACAGTTGCATGAATTCTGAAGACTTCTCCCTTACAGCCTCTGCTCAGAAACCGTGTCTAGAAAATCGTCTGCAGAAACCACAGGATGAATTGCCAGCGGAAGCTTCATATGCTCTAAAGCATGAACTCTTGGACGGAAGCGTCCACATGAAGTTGACATCCAGTACAGCACGAGTTCAGCAAGTAAAATCTTTCCCAGTTGTGCCACCAAAGCCCCAGTTTGCTAAGGTGCCTCCTTCCTTAAAGCCAGTGACTTCCAGCAAGGAACACCTCATCAATGTCCCAGTTAAGAACTGTGAGGATGGGACCAAGCAGGAGCCCAACCAAAGCTCTTTGAAAAGACCCTTCCATCTGACCAGCTTGGACACCTCTTACCACATCAGAGACAGCAGCCAAAACGTAGAATCCTCCCCAGCATCTCCTGTGCCACCCAGCTCTTCAGAGGATTGCTGCAGCAATTTGGGTGCCCTTCCAAAGCAACGGAATTCGATGCCTGTGAGCTTGGAGAAGTTTAGCAATGACTGCAAGAACAAAGAGGACATCGCCCCAAAGCCCCAGCATTCTCCACGGGATAAATCCTTCTCGTGGTCCAAGAGTGGTGAGCTTGGAGGCAGTAGCCTTCATCTTACAAAGGGCTCTCTGCCAGGGACTTCGGACAGACAGAACAGCAGCCAGCACGATGATGGGAAAGGGCCACCCCACGGACTGCTTTCACCAGAGAAGCCCATCAGTGAGGGCCTTGAGGCCACTCCCTGGAAGCAGCGCTGGAACAACTGGCGTCACAGTGGAAGCATGTCGTTCGATGAGGCTGTGGCCCTCGCCAAGGAGAGGCACGTGGCCCAAGCTCCTATGAGGAGAATGCAAACCTATTCCTATGGAGACGTGGATGGGCCACATGGGCTGTCCAGAACGGAGAAGACTGCTCCTACCCCCAAACCTGCTCTGAGGCCTCTGGGCCAGCTACCCCAGAGGCCGCTGAGTTGCTTCAGCACAGCTGGACCTCCAGAGGCTCATGGTTTGGGAAAGCTGCTTTTTCCCCCAGCACTGCCTGATGTCATCCCAGAAAGTGTGCACAGCCCAGGACAGGAAGGGTCCTCTTTCCCTCAGGACTTTCCTCCAAGAAGCAGACTGAGCTTGTCCAAGATAGGGCGGCGCTTGTCTATGTCCGACGAGGCATATTTTGGGTTGTCCCATGAGCAGAGGTGACTGGCTAGCCCCACTTGTCCTTCCATGGGGCCAATTCATGCTACCCGGCACTGGTGGGGGCTCCCACCATGACATATCCATTAGAACTACAGGAGACCTTTGCCAAATCAAAGCAAAAGCTCATTTAATCCAGCCTTCCCCAAGCTGGGGCCCAAACTCTGCCCCCTCTTAACAAACAAAAGTAATGGTTCAGATGAAAAGAGAAAACAAATGTCAAATTTACCTTTTACTGGTATTAAAATATTAACAAATCCTGATTAAAATTCTTCTTAGTACCTCGTCGCTATGAAAATATTCAGTGCAAAGGAACACCCCCCCCCACATACGTGAAGTATGCGTATTTAACATACCTATTTTCTTTCTTTATTCTACCAGTATGAAATTCGGCAATGTGTTTTCTTTGCAGCAGGGCAGCTGTGGGTGTGATTTCACGTAGCACCCTGATTTCCTTTGGCCCCCCATTGAGGCACACGTGACCCGCTCTCCCCACTCCACAGGCTATGAACAGCTAGGAACTGGTGTCTTGAGATAGCCAGAGACGTAGCCCCGGTCAACAGTCGGGAGTTGATACGGGGGACGTACTCACACACCTCTCAGTGGGGCAGTAACCTCCAAAGGACAGGATGAGCAGCTAAGTCTCATTTAAGCACGAGACAGCACACAAAGGAATCCTTTGTCCGCCCCAAGCTTTATGGAGGACAACACAGTCAAGATTTGCTGGAGCACTTCCACACACTTACCTTCCATTCTCACCTATGCCCTGAACCCACCCCGGACAACTGGCCAAGGAGCCTGAGGGGAAAGGGGACAACGAGCAGCAGCCACGGAGGATGCATCCCAACCAGCTTCCCGTCCGCCCTTCTCTTTTCCCACAGGTCTCCGTCTTGACTGCTGCTCTCACCGGCCTCCGTCTGCCCCGAGGCGGCTTCTGTTGATGCTTGGCTGACCTCGCAGGTCCACATCCTTCAAATAACCTTTTTGCTGGGTTCGCTGCTTCTCCCCACCCCACCCCACCCTTTTTAAAAAAACTTTTGCTCTCTTCAGGCCCTTATCAAGTTGCCAGGAGCGTCTGCAGGATGTGGTCCAAAAAGCCAAGATGCCAGCCGTGGGGATGAGATTTAAGATCCGTCCGGTTTTTACGGGTCTCGACACAACACCCATAAAAACCAAGCAGAGCTACAATTGCACCGCCACGACCACCCTCTTGACTTTTTTTTACCATGCCCTGTGGACGCCCTGGCAAGTGTTCAGAGAGGGTTCGGAATATTTACAACGTGCTGCGGCCGGTGTTTTCCGCAGCAATCTCATTCTGCCTCTGTCTGCCCAAGTGCATTAGGGATATTGTGATACTGGCTTACTAGGCAGGATTGTTGTAAAGATCACAACAACTCTGATCGCAGGCTGGTTGGTAGCACAGGGGAAGCAAGGTGGGGGGCCGTTCCCCAATTAGGTCAGGGGACAGCATTAAAACAAGGCAACTCGTAGAGCATCAGGCCTCTCTCCCTTTAATTCTGGGTATCTCCTAGAGTCCTCCCCAAGTTTACATGGCTTGAAATGTAGACAGGGCAATTTTCTGCCAGTACACTTTAGGAAATCAAGTCAAATAGGTATTGTGTGAGATGTATTGGTATAAGCCAAATAAAAAATTGCTGTAATACAAAATTGTTGTTGTTGCTGTTATTTAATCTGCTTTCCTGCTTTACCTGTCACAACTACCACTTCCAAAAGTTGGGTTGTTTTGAGCTCCTGCTGAGTAACAAACACTTCCAAAACCTAAATATTACAGGATGCTCAAGACATTTCTTTTTCTTTTCTTTTCTTTTTTTCCTGTTGTAAAGTCACTCTTGACTCCTGGCCACTGTCTGGGCAAGTCCCTGAAATTTTCTTGGCAATGTTTTTGGAACGGGCTTGCCACTGACCTCTTCCTAGGGCTGAGAGAGAGAGGCTGGCCCAAAGTCTTCTAGCTGGCTTCGGGCCTAAAGTGAGATTACAACTCAGGATTCAGCACCTTAACCTTTAGACCAGCATTTTTCAAACTTGGCCACTTTAAGACGTGTGGACTTCGACTCCCAGGCTAGAAACTGGGAGACCGAGTTCTAGTAGGGCCTGAGACATGAAGCCAGCTGGGTGACTTAGGAATGCAAGGAGGGACTCTGAAGAAGAGGGATCCCTCAGGATCAGAGGCCAGTTCCTTGCCAAAGTACCCAAGGATTTAATCTCCCGTTCAAAAGAGGGATCCAGTATGAAGCAGTCTGTAAAATAACTGGAGTCGTCGTCCCCGAAGTGGGATGCACGCCCAAGATGGTCTATTGAGGCGTGGGAAGAAAATTATGTATACTTTAATCTAAAATAATCAAGCCATACTAATATTTTACATACAGATGTGCCTAATGTATCTAATAATATATTGAGAGCCAGCTTGGCTTAGTGGTGAAAGGCATCAGGCTAGAAACCAGGAGGCCGTGAGTTCGAGTGCTGTCCTAGGCACAGAATCCAGCTGGGTGACCTTGGGCCAGTCCCTCTCTCTCAGCCCTAGGAAGGGGGCAATGGCAAACCCCTTCTAAAAATGTGGCTAAGAAAACCACAGGGACTGTTCCA